ATCGCTACACAATCCATAGGTATGGTACCTCTGAACTGATGTTATCAAAAGAGATTTGAAAATTACCGTTGAAATGAAAAAAATACGCGCTGTTAAATTGAAAACTACGTTTATTAGTCGCAGTGGTAAGCGTTGCGTATATGTACCCGTAAACTCCGTTAACTCCGCAAAGAAATCAACAGAAAAGCGCTTTGAACAAACAAGTCAAGCATCGTCCATTACTCGGGAAGTGTCGATCGACGAACCGTCCGCGTGCAACTTAACTCTTCACCAGAAACGACAGGTTTTTACCTATAACAACTGGAAGAGGGTTAGAGATTCAATCTTCAATGCATTCATTGATGAATCGCATCTTCCTAGGGATGCAACTTGTATTGAATGCAATAAGGAGGCAGCTACAATACGATGTCAAGATTGTGGCACAAGACAGTTCTTTTGTGAACAATGTGCAGAAAATCTGCACTCAAAACGAAACCATTTCCACATTCTGGAAGTTTGGCAGGTAAATACACGACTTTATAGTATTTAAAAAACGTAAATAAAGTGAGAAATAACAATTTCTTCTTGCATTAATGTAGGATGAAATGTTTTCACCTTTGTACGCTGATCATGGCGTCGTCGGCTACGGGCATAATTGCTCAACAAAAGTTCTTCAAAACTTCACACTAGTAGATAGTTCTGGTAAGATTTGTATGATAAATGGCTATTAATTTTGATAGTATTGATTTTTGGCAAATTTGTTTTTTCCTTTTTTTTTTACTTTAAGTTTCATATTTGACAACAGACTCCCTGATTTATGCACCTATCAGCGGCTTCGCCCTGGGGTAGACCCCCGGGACAACAAGGGAGATTGTAAAAATTTGCAAACAATTTTGATTATTTTCCCCACGGGAAGGGTAATGCGTCTTTTCAATGTTCCCTGGTCAAAGCAGTCATTAAATAACAATTCCCCCTCATTTAAGTCGAAAACAAATATTATTGATGGTTTTCAACCATTCCAATGAGAGTGAGCAAAACAAAAAGGTCCACCAGTCACGGTGGTGGTTTTCTTTTGTCAGGTCCACCAGCAATGGCTGACGTCTTTTGTTCAACTGTCTCTCCTGGGAATGGTTGAAAACCATCAATACTGACACAGAAATTACATGTCATGTTCACAATGTAAAGTTTCACCCTTGACACAAGTTGACGTGAAAGGATTTATGGGTATTTTTCAATATGCCGGATAAACAAAGGTAGCGCGAGCAAACCACATCATTTCATATTATAGTTGTGCAAAAAAAGGTAAATTTAACACCGTAAAAAAGTAGGTGAAATAACTTACTGACGTTTCAGACGTTAATCCTTCACTAGTTGACCGCTAGTTCCCCCCATTTTATACTAACTCTTAAAGCTTATTTGTAAATATAGTAAAAAGTGATGTTATGTTCATTTTAATAAGTAATTTTTTATGTTTACTTTCACATGGGCTCATTTGGTTCTTTTCAGGAAGACAACATGTCAAACGTGTGGAGGTATGCGAATGTGAACCAATTGCCGTTTCTCTAGTTAGATGTAATTTCTGGCCCGGTTCACCAGTCAAACCAACTACTGCATTCCACATCTCATTGATGAATTTGCTGGAAAAGTTATTTTTACAATGCCAAGTGTCCTTATATGACTTTGGTGAAGTTCTCAACCTTCTACAGCCTCAACTTGGAAAAACAGTGGTATGCAGTTTATAGGTTCCTTTGTACTCTTTGCAGGAAACTGGCCAAAAATGTTCATGTTGACAGATTGCATCTTTCCTGATGGTTTAGGGGATCTGTGTTTAGTCTGTTTAATTTTATGTTTTATTTTGGATATTGTTCTTGACGCTCTTGTCTTTTTTTTTTTTTGTCTTTTTTTTCACTGACATTTAATGTGAAATGGGCAGGTTTGAGTGTATATTCCAAGCAAACTCATGTGCATAATCATGCGATTATGAAATATTGATTTTCCATCAACCAAAGACAGGCATTGTTCATTCAAGATTGCATTGTGAGCAATGCCAAGTGGGGGGAATCTAGGCATGCAAATTTGAATTTATTTAACCTTGTACAAAAAATTAAAATGTTTTTATTGTTCACTTTTATTTGTTTAGAGTACATCCTTGTATGGAACTCTTAATTCAGGCAGTTTTGAAGAATTCAGGTTAGTTATGTCACCCACCTTAAAGTAAATTATAAAACAAGCTGTATTTGTTTAAGAAATATATTTATTGTTGTGTTCACTATAATTATAGCAATGAATCTTACGGTGTACTATCATGATAAACAGATAAGATTGGTTAGCACAGTGTGATAAGTTCCACATAAATGAAGATTAATATCCAAGAATTAAACTAAATCATAGTCCTGAAATACCATTCTAAGTTATTACCTTGCAGGCAGTTCAAGTACCATATGCAGTACTTACATAACTTTTGTCCTGGGTTGAATAATGGTACTCAATGTGAATTATGTCCAAAGGTATTTCCACTGACCCATTCTTACAATAATTGCTTGTTATATTAAAATCTTGCTATTTATTATTCTCCACAACATGATCTTAAAAACACTCGAAATACATGCACATCAAACCAAAAATACTGTGATTTAAATCAATATAGTAAATGCAATAGGTGTGGAAGGTATGTTTTTGTAAAGAAATTGGGCTTGTTTTGAATGTGCATTTTAATAATTATTTGAAATTCATATTGTGGCTGTTTTAGGATAAAGGCGTAATGATTGAAAGTCTGGATGCCTGTATGGGGCTTGCTAGAAAAAAGAAGAAGGGTGGAGGACTAGTGGAACCTCGTCATGAAGAGCTAATGTTCAGTGATCAAACAGATGTCGACAATTTTGTGGATAATTATGGAAAAGAAGGGATTAAAATCGAAGAAGTGAGTATGCAAGGCAGATATTGGTCGTCAGTTAAAGCACTTAGTCATGTAATGTAACCCAATAATGTATTGACAAAAAATATTGGTTCAGGAATAGATATTAAAAACTTAAAATTTATTCATTGGAAACTAGTAAACATTTTGCAGTCATATCTGACTTTTTTGCTTTTGTATTTATCTCTAACTCTGGTTATTTTATTTTTTATTAGAACTGCAATCGATTTCATGCTGGTGAAGTCCTGTCATCTCTTAGGTCTAAAGGAAAAAACCAACTGTTTGATGAGAAGGGTGTATTCGGTAGAGTATGCCGGCATGACTTCCCAAAGGGTTTTGTGAATCTCAAGTATGGAGAGAGGTATTTATAACAAGTATTCAAACATCTATCATTTTGGACTCGCTGTATGCATAGAAAAAAACACAGTGAATTAGTTGAACTTGAGCTTGCTCATGCAGCCGATAAATTGACTAATTTATATAATAATTATAAAAAAATAAATCATATATTGTTAAAAACAAAATTGTTCTCATGGTACTCCTGTTTCATCAACCAATTTTTATCAACCAATCAACAAATTATTGTTTTTAATCTTTCAATTGATGACCAAAGTTGATTGTTGATTAATTACTGACAATTATTTTTTTAATATTCTCTTTTATTATATAGGATTTCATATTCAATATATGAAATAAACAAATTAAAGGAGAGTTTGAAAGATAAACCTGGAGTTAAACTTATCATCATGTATGATATTGCTTGTATTTTATCATCTCATTTAAAGGTGAGATGTGAAGCGATTGTAAAAATCTAGTACTTGTTTTAGTTTCTTTAATTATTTTTTTCATTGTTTTAATTAAATACTTTTAGGGAGAGTGCTTGCAGTATGTCCATCAAAAACATATAATAGTTATTATCTGATAGAACTTTCTTATTTAGTGACTATACGTTTTCACGCAGCTTGAACAGTTGAACTTTCTTTTGACAGAATGCTCAAGACAATAGAAAGTTAAGCTGTTTCAGTTGAATGATAGTATCAAATAGTCACTAAATAAGAAATATAATTAAAAAACTATTTTGATTTTGTTTTGTAGACATACTGTAAGCACTCTAATATAAATAAGAATACAGCTTGTTGTGATCATTTACCTTAGGTATCAAATACATGTATCCTCTTGGAAGGATAAAATATGTTACAAAAATAGCTGTCAGACTTGATTGGTATGTTCCTCAAGTAATTATATATTTTTAATCAGTGCTCCAACCAAGAAGATCTGATTAATAACATAGACTTGGCTATCCCTATATTCCACTGTTATGGGCATAAAGCATCTTGTCAGGTAAATTATTTATTTAATAATAATATTATCAATATTATCTAGTACTAGCATTTATATTCAAATGTCCTTTTTTATCTATCCAGCATTCCACATCATCAAATTAATATTATCATTGCTAGTACTGTTAGATGAAACAATCGTTCACTTTGTGCTAAAAGCAGCAATGATCATTTAAACTAATTCTCTAAAGTATTATTAAAATCTACATATTGATTAGTATACATTATAGGTTGAACAAAAAACAAAACATTAAATGTGTGTTGTAACTTATTAAATTAATGTTGCTCAGCTCAGCATAAACAGTTTTATTTTGGTAGATTGAATATAACCCAAGAAGAGTTACAGGAATTGGACTAACTGATGGCGAAGGAGTGGAAAGACTGTGGTCTTACCTAAGAGGATATTCATCCATGACAAAAGAGATGTCGTCGGAGAAAAGGATTGATGTTCTTACTGATGCACTGATCTATTATTAAAGACTTAACAGGAGATGCGGTACTGTGGTCAAGCCTTGTTGCTGTTTTGTTATTGTATTGAATGATAGCTCTATAACTATACAGGAATAGTTCTAAAGTGTGATTAATCAGATTCAACAAAAAGATTAATGATAAAGTTGGGCAGGAACACTTCACTATAAGAGACATGTTCCTTGCTTAAACTTACTATAGCCTTCATAGCAGCACTTGGGAGAAGGAATGGGTATTCATCTCCTAACCTCCGAGAGAGGGTACAGTATACAGAGCAACATGTTTAATGCAGTTTTAATATTTTGTTATAATATACAGTCTAACAAAGGAAGGTTACTATGTGTAATGTTTCAATTTGAATTATAGGAAGGTCTCTCAAGGATAAATTATTAAAAGCTCAAGATCTGGCAGCTACTGTAGAAAAGGATATCAAAAGTATTGAAGCCTCTATTTCATGTATGTTTCAATAGAAAGTATTTTGCATCATAGTGAAAGCCCTCATTATTCTGTAAACTTGTGGAACTCAATATATTCATTTATTAAGGGACATTATATTTATATACTTTTTTTATTATTTTTTTTTCGAAATATTTTAAAAAGCCTATTTGAAATTAAAAATCACGTAGAATCATCTAATCATTTAAAATATGTATATTTATGACACTGCAGATTCATGTACTGTGGATATTATCAAGAAATGGAAAACAGATGAATTAACAAATATCAAGCCAAGAGAAAATGGTGAATATAACTTTTTGGAAAGAAGCATTTAATGATTGTATAATAATTGTTGTTTTTCACAGAACTTTTTACATCCCATTAACTGTGAATTCAAAGTAAATGATATCAATACTGCTATCAACACACTTAGTTACTGGATTTTAAATTCATAACACTTAATGAGAATGGACCATATATTATATAATTTGTATAATAAAATCTGCCATTGAATGAGTCAGTCAATCTAAAAAAAGCTGACAATGATTTTTGGACAATTGATTTTAGTGCTGGGGCTACTTTGGGACGAAAAATATGTTGAAATCCTACTAGAATTGGAAATGCTGAGGTAATGTAAAATGCAATTTGGAGCTGGCATAGCATTTTTTGTTTGTGTTGCTATAATTGTTGATTTATTTGCATTCATTTGAACATAAGTTTTGTATGATTTATAGCACATTTTGACCAAGAAATAGCATTCCTTCAATCATCAAGGATTGTTTTGAAGAAACATGGCAAAATAGAGAAATGTATTGGCTGGAATGTCTAATGATTTATACATTTTGTATTATTTAATTATCATTTTGACTAATTAATCAATCTGTGTTGAAAAATAAATTGATAGGAAACTCTATGTTTACCCTTTTTTAATTAATTTATTTATTTTCTGACAGTTCTGACTTGAGTTGTATGGAAATGAACCAGGAAGCAATGCAGTTTGTTCAAAATAAGAAAAAGAGGTATAAGGGCAACATATTCTTATTGTAAATAGTCTTGATAGTTCTATGCTGTATTATTGTCATGATGTTGAGTTACAATCCATACAAATCACCACAATTCTTATGGTTTATCCATCTAGGAATTTTTTTTTACCTAGAGTTTTAATTTTGCAGGAAAGAAAAGGAATTGCTTACCATAGAGAAAAAGAATAATGTAAAAAAGACATGGAAGAAGGATGCCATTGTGTTTGACACTGCCAAGAAAAGATTGTTTGTAAAGAAAAAGGCTAAAACAATTCTTGATTTGCATAGATTAGCATCAGAGCGTACCTTTCTTTTGGAAATGAAGAAGAAATATGCAGGTAATGAGATTTAATCAATGATATATACTCCATTGTGAATCATAACTAAATCATACTAACAACAAGTTAATTGTTGTGCAATTAATAAAGATAAAAAGGCGTTGATTTGTATTAGTTTCTTTTATATTATAGATGGTCAAAGCATAGCCATAAAATTGTCAACACAAATCAGTAAAGTCACTAAATCTATGGAGAAGTGTCTAACTAGTCTAAATGCTTTGGTAGAAGCTCCAGAAAGGTTGAGCTTCCATGATATCAGGGAACCATCAAGTGAAATTTTCAATGGTGTGTCGTCTAATGAGGATGATGGTGACATCCCTCTGTCCATCAAGAAGAAACTCATTTGTTTATGTAGCTACAAAGAAAGATGCCAAGAAGAGGTGGAACTTGTGAAGACAGAAATGATTTTTCTTGTCCAAGCAAAATTCACCCAATTACAAGCCATACAAAGGGAATTATGTCATACAAGCAAGCTTGGCTTAAAGTCATTGCTATTGCAGAAAAGTGCTGCTATCTATGCAGAGGTTGTCAGACTTCTGAAAGAGTGGGATGGGTTGGGAGTTTGCCCATACTTCATGGAAGACAAAATCCATTACAGGACCACTAGTAATTATCAAGTTCTGACTCCTACCAACGAAGAAGATGAACTCCCTAATAATGATGCAGAGGATAGTGACAGTACTTCTAGTGAAGAATGGGACACAGACGATAATGATCAAGATAATTAGTCCGACTGCTACTGGCGTACACCTGTCCACCTGCAAGCACCACAAACCAGTCTCAGGCTGCACCCACTGCCATTTTCGCCGACTAACCTTACTGCACCAAATGCTAGTACCAACAACACGTCTGTTACTATAACTGCCAATACTACAAAGCCAATCAGTCTCCTTGCTGAACTTTTAGATAGCAAAACGCAAAATTGACATGTAATTTTTTGTACTCAATAAACTCATGATTTTATACTTGGAAAGTTTGATTGAATGCATTTTGCTGCAATGTAACTGTGCAAAATATATAGATATATAGACATTAAAGATTAATTACCTTAGAGCTTGTCTTGAAGTGGAAAAAAAAGTCAAATGGTGCATCCGTTTTTAAAAGGATGAGTCGGTTCGATTCCGGCGTGACTTCCAGTGAAAGACAACTGACTCTAGGGGCACGATATATACCATACGTACAACCTATAGATAGTATCCGTGTGGAGCACACATGCTTGGAGTGAGGATATGATTTTAAATGAAATACATTGCTGAAATAACTTGAAGAAAAGTATATACGTCATATACAATTGGGATTCAAATGTAAACTGTTCTTTAAATGCCATCACTCTGGGGCGGATCTAGGGGAGGTCCACTGGGTGCACGTGCACCCATTTGGTTTAAAAGATTTATAAAATTATATATATACAAAAGCATTTTACAGCCGCAACTTAATAAAAAAGAGAATAGACAGCGGCCCGTTGCGTCGTAAAACGGCCAGATTTCGGAGTTCCTTTAGTGACAAGTGAATGTGCAATTTATCGATCGAGGTATTGACCACTGCCTATACTCCAATACAAAGCATAAGCGTTCAGCCCAGTATACGTATTTTATGAAGATTACATTATATAGCTTATCGTACAGAGCTCCTGTGCCTTTCGGTCTAACATGGTGACCCCCCCTCCCTCTCCCCTCCCCCCTCCCTCTCCCCTCCAAACCAAAATCCTAGATCCGCCCCAGGTAACACAGTTGGTAACAGCATACCAGTAGGTATACAATGTAGCCCAACAAATAGGTGATAGCCCAGCTGGAAAGGACAATAGTTTCACTCAATAGGCTTGTATTTGAAAGCCCATTTACTTACTAGAACTGTTCATGTTCCACAGAGAGTTGAAAAAGAAATAAATGTGCCCGGAGGCATGTGGTGATGAAAACAATAAAAAGTGGTGCTAATTTTGTTATATTATTTGTAACAAAATTGGCACCCCTTTTTCGAAAATTTGAATCCACATATGTCCGCTACTATTTAATAAAGATCAGCGAAACTTGCACAAGACATTTCTCATCTGTAGTGGAATGTGTGTGAAAAGTTTCGATAAGATCGGTCGACATGCGCAAAAGATATGGTCATTTGTCTTTCTCTAGAAGCTGGTCCCTGCTAACTACTGTAGGTATACGTGAATTTCAAATTTACTCATTTTTTTGGAATATGGGACCATGTCTAACTTCCGTGATATTGTGTCGATTTACACCAAACTTTCAGGAAGGTCGTATCTTGAATAGGCAAACTTGCTAGTAAATTTTGGAGGAGATCTATGCGCATGCGCAGAAGTTGGAAAAATAATGGTCAGCGGTATTTCCCATAGAAACATGGACCCCACTTTTTGTTATGAGAAAAGAAACTTGAACTCACGGATTTTTATATAACTTCGCCTTGTCCGATTCTCTTAAATTGATTTTACATGGCTTTTTGATTCAAACGAATTTACAAGAAGTTATGAGCATCACAATTGAGGCTGCGCGGTCTATGCATACATGCATCATAATAGCCCGAAACAGGCCTAGTTCAACGTCCCTAAAAATCTTTTTCAAGAAGACATTATGCACCAACCACGATGTATAAGGGAGTGTTTGAATTTTTTTTAAGTTCTTTTAATCCAGTTATGGTGCTGAAAACGTTTGCAGCTGTACGCCTTCGGAGGGTTCCCAAAAGCTGACTGTATGTATCCAATTGATTAAAAGTTCCATTCAAGCAGATACTCTAAAGTTCATTGGGAATATGTGGACAGCCTTATCCATGTAATGTATTGCATGCTTGTACTTTTTAAAGCAATAGCAAAATCTTGTCGTTTCGGCAGGTGCACTATTCGCTTTCTAAACGGTGAAATGATATTAGTTTAAGACACTTTCAAATAAATAATCTTATGATGGATACCACTATTTTTTTAACAATAATATAATAAATTTTATTTCAAAAAGGATCTCATATTTACAAATATTGGTAATAAAAACATGAATAATAATAAAATACTATGAAGAAGTGGCTGATGGTAATAAGATATGTACAATTAAAACTATCTAAAAAATATTACAAAATTCCAAAAGAACGAAACATGAAATAAAAAATAAATAAATTACAAATTTTAAAATTTCTAAGAATTAATTTAAATTTGCTGTAAAATTGTCCATGCTAAAATCAGAATTATTAGTTTCAAAGTTCCTTCGTTTTGCTCTCGTTCCTCTCAGGCAAAGAAGGGCAGATCGTAATAAGGCGAACGACACTTTCACTCTTATCCAGGCCATCGTGTTGGAATAGGTCTCTTCTTTCTTCACCGATACAAGCTCGGCTAAGCGTTTATGGTACATCTGACATTCTGGACTCATTCCTCCAGTGCTGYTGAAAATCAKGGGMGTAAATGTCCCTTGCTCAACTTCTAAAATTCTGGTGGCATACTTTCGTTTCTTTTCTGCTTCATGYTGTTTATATACTTKCTGTATTGTTTTGTCACGGTAGCACTCAGCATTTGGGTGAAAAACCCTGACGTCAAAGAATGCCGAGCGCTGCCGCTCCCAAAACCCTCTTGCCATTATATCTAGACGAGCGTCTTTTGATTTGTTTTGCTCCATCATTTAATATTTCTCCAGTTATGTCTTGCAGGGGAGGTTCTATTAGCACATCTTTACAGACGGTTCCAAGTAACGCTGCTTCTAAATCTCGAATTTCATTGTGCCGTTGGATTACCAGGCCTCCGTTTCTACATATCATGGCGTGGTTTGCGTCAAAACTGTTTCCACAGACGCATCGATGTGGAATGTGGAATGGATACCACTATAATAATAATAATAATTTATTGATTTATATTGCGCAATATAAATATAAATTATCAAATGCGCATTACAATAATATAATAGAAATAAAATTGTGATATATTACAAATATAAAAATTTAACTACAAGAATAATATAAAATCGAAATAATCGTATGAGGAAGTAGCTTGGTATCATATATAAAATAGAAATATAATAGAGAAATATAATGATTATAAATTAGAGAGACATAATAAAATATATAAATTATATATATTCTATAAGAACATCAATTGGGTCTAAAAGCTAATTGAAATAGATAAGTCTTTTTACCACTACATGTACAACGGAGTATTCTTAATCCTGCATTTCATTCCTGTACAAACGCAACAGCGACATGCAAAGAAACAAGCATCATCACATTCAACAACATCCCAACAACGGTCTCACAGTTGTGGGAAGCCGACGATGATAAGGATGTATGGGCGGATCCAGAATATTCCTCATGGAGGGGATCGGAGCTCTCAGGAAGGGGTGTAAACACAAAAATCATTACCATGAAGATGAGGGTGCGCACCCTGGCACGGCCTGCACCTACCAGCTGGATCCCCCTGCATGTGAGATGGAACATCTACCATAGAGCAGCTTCATAACTTACAATGGACAATGAGAAGTAGTGCACAGTCCTTTTTTCTTCTTGTTTTCTTTTTCCTTTTAATTTTTAAGTTGAAACTATTACATGGGTTGGTGCTTTTCGCTAGATCATGCATAAAAAAAGATCAGTTTTAGTTCATAAGCGGTAGGGATCTCAGTCTTAGTACTAATTTTGGATTTCCAATTTCCAAAACGATTATAGACTGGTTGCGATTTATACAAAATTCTCTTGTGAAAATATCTCACCAACACAAAAGGGAGAGAACAATAAGAATATTTTTATTAAAAACGTATTACCAAAGCTAAAAGACGAAGCCTTCGGGAATATAGGGTTAGCGTCAACTGAGTAAAATGCAAATGGCTACTGACTATAGAATATCCTTCCACACGAATTTTCCCTTAGTACATATTGCTGCTCCCGCAGTCCCGTAGTCACACAGTGCCTGCATTGAATTCTGGTCCTGTTATCATTTCGGACACTCCAACAATCATCATGTCAGGTTTTTTCGCGATCGGCACTGATTCCACTTATATATTTTGGTGCTCTCGCAGTCACGTAGTCACACAGTGCTATACAGGAACCATTAAATTTCTCGTGTGATACATCCACCATTTATTAATATCAATTACGATATTTTCTCGTACTACAGAGCTCACAAGTAAACTATAGCCCATTATGCTTTGCTATCACCACGGGAGCACTCAATTCTAATGCTTTCTCGTTCTACAGAATTCACAAGCAAACTATCGTAAATTGATGTAAATTTTATTCCACGTAATATATAAAGTTGAAGCAGATAAATGCTCACGCGGATATATATCATCAATTTTTAAATGTTGCCAACTGTTTGTCTTTATCAAAAATTGTTTATTTTGATTCAAAATCTCAAAGAACAATAGGGTTAGGTATGACTTCATACATAACAAATTAAAAATGACAAAAAAATTGACAAAAAACGTCGTCGTGGAGAATAACGGCGAGCGGCGATTGTCGAAGGGAGAATGGACGACCGAAAGGAACTATGGTTGCGTTCTTTGACACACAAAAAATTGAATTGTTGGGTTTATTTGCGTGAAAATGGAGACTAAATGGAGCCAATGATAAAATCAGTTATTCCCCATCCATTGGCAAAACCCATGGCTAATTTAATTTCGGTCGTGCAATCGCTGTTTGACAATTACCATTTCATCAAGTCGCCAAACAATTTATCTGACGACCTTTTTTGAAATAGGTATATGTATCTCCTTTGTATGTAAGCAAAATACTGCTTCACGGAAATCATTTCAGCTTCAGTAAATTCAAAGTTATTTTCAATTTTCATTGATTTTGGTCCAATTGGCACTTTTTAAAAATCTTTATTTTATTACAGATGCACAAGCTTCATTTTGTTCGAAGACTACAGACTAATGAATTTGCTTTCTAACGTAAGTTCTTAAGGAATCCTTGCTCTGAAAGAGTGTCAAATATTGCCTTCTTGAAGTTAAGAGAAGGTTTAAAAATTTGTCCTTCTTCAATTTTCATTTCTGTGGTCAGGTATAATGGCCCAACTGCTGACATCACTAGTGCTTCTGCTTTGATTTCTGTTTTTTGATCCAGCAGCTTGTAGTTCCCACTTTGACTATTTGTATCTAAGTCCAGCCAGTACCCTTTAACTGGTTTCCTTCCAGATAAGCGGTTAATACTTTTAGGGTGTCTGTCATTGCAGTAAAACAGCCAGAACTCTTCGTCGGCCATAGTGTAGATAGGTAATACCATACCTCCCACATCGGAGGAATGGATAAGGTTCTCCTTTATAGCTGTTATTGCATCATCATCAAAATGTTTCAAAACATCGTTGTGGCACAGTCTCAGGCGCTCATCTTGTTCTAACTCAAGCCCAACAACTTCAACTTCATCTTCTTTAATTTGCTGGTCAATTCCTGATAAAATCCTTCTTGCAACTTCCTCTCCACAAATCTTTGTCAGAAGTTCCTTTTTACTGTTGGGAGCATTCTCTGGTTCTACTTGACTTTCTTCTTTGTTGTCAGTACTGCATTGATCAGGAGTTATTTCAAAAACTATGTTGTCCTTGCATGACATGATAGCTTGAATTTGTTTGTGTCCATAATGAGTGGGTTTGCGGAAAGGGATACCTTCAGGCAAACCTTTAACCAAAAATCCACCTTTCAAATATGGAACCCGGCACATCTTTCCAACAGCTTCACCTGAAATGAAGGAGAACTTATTAATTGATAAAATTGATGAAATTAGTCGACCTGTCTTCCCTTCACATATTCTTAAACATGATAAAAATCTTGTGACAAAGAGCATAATATATTTCACTAGCTACAGATCTGGAATCGAATGGTAAAACTAGACTGATTGCATTCCGGTTAAAATAGGTTTACTGATGACAATCGACAGTGCCATTTAATAAATGATGCTTTTGTACATGTTTTCACCCTTACTGTATTTTTCGTTGAACATCTTTGTCAAATCTTGATAATCATACTTCTCATTATTGCAAGCTGAAAAATAAATAGTAAACAAAATATATAATGTAAATATAATAATATTACATTGCTACAACTAAGTTTAACTGAGTAAATGCAAAACTAAAGCGCATCTTTATTTCAAGACATTTGGAACCATTGACACACATTGCGACACCCACACACATACAAGAAAAACAAATCAAATGATATGATTTCGATTTGTAACACGATCTCTTGAACTTGATCTTTAATTATATATCACCACTGGAAATCAGCAATTTTGCAATTTGTTGGGATCATTGATTTTCTCAAGAAATACAAGTTCATGCACATCAATGGAAGGTCCCAGTTTATTGGATAATGAAAAGCACATCCAAGAATAGGAAAGTTAATGCCTTACCAAAATGCTCCTTGAATTTAAGTGTCATCTCCACATTAGAAGACAGGAAGCTTTCACCACCAGAAGACCCAAAATTGAATATTTGCCCAGATGGTTCCATTAGAATTATGGCTATCTCACAACCCATGTCTTCTAGAAACATAACCTAACAAATAAAAAAACACATATTAGTTAATATATAAGCTAATAGTATTGTACTATATATTTGATTGTTCCAATAACAATAAGACCTTGTATTAGCTAGCAATTTAACTGGTTTATACTGTAAAAAGTATTAGATTTAGCTGGTGCAAATAGAAGCTTCACAATAGCGTTTAACTTTGCAGTGTGTGCGTGTGATAGTCTTAAATTCTAAAGTTTATGCAGTTTTGATAAACTTGGCAAGAGTTTTTTTTACATTACACAAACACAAATACACAAACTGCATGTTAATGTTTTTCAATAAATATTTTAATGAATGATAATTATTAGCAATATAGTTCATGATTTATACGCAGTTTGTTTAATCAACCATGAATAATTTTAAACTTCTTYCCAAGCTTTCGACCTAAGCGGTCATCTTCAGGGAACACAAAGACGTTACAAAAACAAAAACGCATTCAAAATGAAAAATACAACCAACAAAGATCTTTTAAAATAGTTCATGATGTTAGTGCTAATTAACACTTCATCAAATTAAGCAATAGAACATCACATTTTTGAGCGTTCCTGGTGAAATAAAGAATAGGCGATAGATTTCTATCCTTTTGTCGATGAGTGTTTTCCCAATATCCCGGCCAAGCAGTTCATTTCACAAGGAACACACTAAAATGTGCTGTTTATTGCTTTTAGACTATAGCATTTTTGCACCTGTGCGTTTATATGAAATAATTACAATAACATTTGACCAATCAGAGGACGCGTAATATGATAGCTATAATAATATACAATCATGTACAATTAATTATCTTTGGACTTTTGGGAAAAAAATGTTAGGAAATATTAAAAAAATGAAATATCCTTCTACTATTATCATTGCATATATTTTTTTTATAAATTATGCCTGCTAAAAATATTGACCTGTGTGCTTCGATCTACCCATATGTTGTCATTTTGGGTGAGTGTCTGTAATTTGTGTTTGAATCATTCAATTGCATTCATAAAATGTTCAGGAATTCTGACAAAGTTTGTACATACGATCTAGTCAGGATTATGGTTAGTCATGTTTGATGTGTACTTTAATTGGCTCAAGATAATTATGAACAAAAACTTTGTCTTGAAATCGAAATGTAATGAATCTGATTAATGCTAAAATAATTTCATTTAATAATGTTTTACAAATTATCTCTTTTCATTACCTCATTGAAAAGCTGTTTTTTATGTTTTTTTATTATCTCATCGCGTTGCTCCTCAGAATCACAATTTGATGAGGCACATTTTGCTTTTTGTACATACTCTTCCTTCTTTTCTTGTGGTATTTCTCGCCATTGCTGTGCCGCTTTTTTATTTTTGTCCTTCATCTCAATTCCAGCATATTCATCTGTCAAGAAGGCAAAATTTGATTTTGATTAGAATAATTTTTTTGTTACTGTTGTTATAGTTGTATATTATAGAGGGTGCAGTTGTACATTGTGGTACCGTAAATGATCTAATAAATGCCCCCTTTCTAATGAATGCCTCCTGTCTATTAAACACTCCCCCCCCCCCCCCCTTGAACCATTGAAGATCATTTACGGGGGTAAGCATTAATAAGGAAGGGGCAATTTAATGACAGCTATCCTCTCAAATTTGGTAACTGCATGACCTGCCAAAACTGGCCTTTCAAATAGAAGAAATTGACAAGAAAAAAATTGTTCTTTTCAATAGCCGACTTGCGAATTACGCATCAATAGTCACATACAAAGGAATCAAGACGAGGCGCCATGCTAAAGACAATAGATTTTTCACAAAAAAAGCACGGCGCCTCGTCTTTATTCTTAATTGTATGTGACTATATTGATGCGTAATTCGCAAGTCAGCTATTGTCTTTTTATGTGCGATATTCTGGGCACTGAACATACATTTTCAATTTTGGCAGACACCAATTTCAAATATTGTATTTTGAATAGAAATTCATCAAAGTTTACATACAATATATGCTTGGAGATTATTATAACTTAAGGCATTGTAAAATGTATGTTCAGCTTTCCAAAACATTGCTTTTCTCCTGTACAAACACTGTACTTATAATATGGAGTTGTTGCAGGGGTCACACCTATCCAACCACTAGTAGAGTACTAGTTCCTGCAGCTTATAAGAAACTACTTTTTCAATTTTAGCTTAAGCGGGTTAGTAAATAGGCTACACAGGTTCTTAAATATAGGTTATTATTTATCCCTTATTTAATGAAAATTAATAAGGTTTACCAATTTTAGAAATTAACAAAATGTTCAAGTTCACTACATATTTTTTATGAAGAATTCTTTAGGTTAATTTCTATAAGAACCTACATTTCTATCTATAAGAACCTGTTTCAAATATTAGCCTTAGAAATAGGTTCTAAATGTAAATGGGCCCTATTTAGATATTTTTAGGCTAACAGGTTCTTAAAYTGCAGGTTCTTATAAGCTGGTAACTACTGTAATATTTTATTTGTGATTCAAAAGAAATGTGTAAAGAATTTTGAATAAAATTGATAAAACAACTAAAAAGTTAGAGAAAGAATAAAAAAAAGTTAAAGAAAGAACATTTGAAAAACATTTAATATAATACATAAATATATCAACCTGCATGCTTTATTCATAGTTTTTTTTCTTGTATTTTTGCCTTTTTTCATTTATAGTAATTATTCAACTTTTTCATATTATATATTTCAATTAGTTATCAAAATATTTCTATATATTATTAATATATATTTCTATATTTCAAAAAGAAAGAAAATCTCTTTTATTAAAACCAAATTAAAATTTAGATTGTGTATTTTGTGGTATTCTTATCAATTACATTGCCGAATTTCAGGCGATGTTCAGATATATGAATATTTGAATCAAAAGTTCATAATGATTGGAATTATAATGAAGCTTCAGGTGGATTTGACTCAGATTGTGACTACGTTCTCACAATACAAAACATATGAAGAAAGGCCTAAAAAACTTTAAAAAAATTAAGACAGCCATGGCAACCATTTATAGAATAACAATAAAATATATAAACTTCAGATTATCAAGAAATACCGCAAATCAGCGTTTTTGATAGAATACCCCATCACATTCTAGCACCCTAGTATGTCAACCATAAGAGACTATTAAGCTTAAATAAGCTTACATGCCGACTCTGTTGTAGATTTCAATGTTA